AGCCGACGTGTGCACATTTTCGATTAAATTACACCAGTCAACTAGTCTATTCTGAGAATTCCATTAAATCATAATTCTTTAGATTTCATACGGCAAGTGTTGGCGTTGACGCTGACGATAAGTAGAAAAAAATACACTATGAACCCTCCATAAAAGGTCTTAAAACTGTAGGCCCAATGAAGTGTATCTTGACAGAACTATCATCACTAGAAATCATTTTATCATTCACACGATCTTCCACTCCAAATTTTCATCAATCACCTGGTTCCACGCGTACACGAATATTGGCAAGACACTGCCCAAATGGTCATGCCTTCCCTCATAGAACATGTCTGCGCTCAGCGCCACATACGATGTCGTGGACTTTGAGGAGCAGGAGGTGCATTTGCCCGAACCCATTGTCGCCGTGGATGGAGCACTGGTTCATCAACTCCTCATCATGCACAGGTTTGATATCAACCACGTGGAGGGTGATTTCGTTTTCCAACTGCATCCCAACCACACCGCAACCTGTCCCCAATACTTGGTGGTCGCAAGGTGCGTCACTTCTTCCACACCACTACCACCACCACCACCACTAACACGCCTCATTCACACATCGCTACTGCCTAACACCACTGCCTCCTCCCACTCAGATTCGCAATTCCACCGAGTCTGCAAGTGGTGGATGAGTATGGCGCCTTCTACTGGGCCATGCTTCCCTCCTCTACCTCGGTGTGCAGTGAGTTCCCACCCTCCTCACTCCGCTGACCATCATAGCATGCCATAATGCACTGCACCATGTCCACTAGGGAACGTGTCCAACTCCGCCGAGTGGCAGCACATCTACGCGCTGCACATCCACTCTCACGTCTTGAGTAAGCTCAAGGAGGAGGCGGCAGTGCGCACAAAAGGTGTGCAAATGCGAGCAGAGGAGTTGCATCTTCTCTACATCGGCTATCGCCAGCTCACAGCACACGAATTGGACCACTACGACGAGGCGACTGCACCACCTGTGCCATATCCTTTCAGGGATCAGATTAACACGACTGCCTATGTGTCAGCCTTCATGCCTTCGTGTCTTTACATTGTGCCGGGTGAGGATGCTTGGCGTAGTGGTGGATGCAAAGTGAGTTCCTCCTCAAACAACTCCCTCCTAGTAGTCCCTCTTTGTCACAACTTTGAGCAGGAGTGCAGCCAACTCGAAGGAATGATGTTGACACGATTCCTCTTTTCTCCTCTCCTCCACAATCATTGACGCAGTGTCTGCCCTTTCCTCCCTCCTCAACGACAGGAAGGACAAATCGCAAATCGCACTGACTTCTCCCCACCTCAAGTGCTTCTCACTGACTGCAGGGACCATCGCTGCGACGCTAAACACCTCTTGCCTAACTTAAGCATGCCAAAGTCTTGCGCCGCCAACCAAACGCAGTAATAGACATTCGACAAGCTGCGTAATAGCTTGCATGAGGATGCATGAGGATGCTGAGGATGAGCATGATTGAGCACTCGGGATTGAGATGCTTTTGGCACTCACACGAAGCAGTGCAATCGTTAGGGGAGCCTTGACAACGACGATTGTCATGCAGCACTACGGATTCGGTCAGTACCCTCCCACCATAAATAGTGCACGTGAAGACTTCTGTAAGTGCAGGTGGCGAAGGAGAGAGTGCCATTCTTCTGTTCGTGATGACCTGCTGCATTTCTCCACGGTTTCGCGCTCACATGCACACATTGCCGCACTTAGCTGTACCAGCAAAAGTAGTGCTTCCACTAGACCGAAAATACTGCGTGTGAGAGAAAGTGATGCCACTTGAGGTCCGACGTTGTAAGTTGTTGTAGAACGGAGAGAATGCATAGTTGGGAAGTGTGGCAGGAGATTGTGCGTGTGAGTTGAGATGAAAAGGTGCAGTCAAGAG